ATCTGTATCTGTATCTGTATCTGTATCTGTATCTGTATCTGTATCTATATCTGTAATGTATCTTTCTCTTTCAATATATATCTCCCTCTTTCTGTTTCTCTAGACCTCGTTATCTGCAGGGAGTCGCACAGACAATGATCCCATCTGTTCGTATAACAATAAGCCTCTGATTTTTGTTCAGATTTACATAAAAATTAAATGGAGAAGCAGAAGCAGTTGGGGAAGAAAGGAGAGCTTACCAATTGTACAAACAGCTTCGATTATGTGAATATATGTCTTTGATCATATATGAAATACTCGCATTATACAATTTGAAAAGACTTCATTTTCTTTGGCTTTGCCAGACAATGAAGAGCCACTGAATAAGTGAGTGTTAAGTTCTTCGGGCATTCAGAATTAGCTGAACAATAAATAGAAGCAAATAACTGCATGTTAAATTGCCTGGTATAACTATAGCTAGCTGTTAAATATTTACAACAATTGAGCAATCAAAAGTCTATGCATAAATGAATGCCAACACTTGGACAATTAACAGGCACTTAGACACAACAAAACTGCATGTTAAACTGGCTTGTAAGGCTTTAACAGCCTGTCAAATGAACAAGATGTGCCTGTCAGACTTGTCTGAAATGATGTGGTCAAGCATATAACGTCACTTAATGCGCATCATTTGTAGAATGCGAAAGAAAACACTTGTTTAATTGCTGCATTACTGCCTGGCTGAATTGCTGACTAGCTGAATTGCTGAGTAGGTGAATTACTTAACAGGCGCTTGACAAGCGTTGGCTCGATATGACCAGAAGATGCCAAGAATGTTGGCAATTGGCTTAATTGAGCTGAATGAGCTTAACACGAGCTTAGCCGCTACTGTTGGCTTCCAGTTAAATTAACTGCCCGCTAAACTCTCTGCCCAGTTATCGTTATGCAATGTGAATGAAGGTTTTACAGCCGCTGAATGTCACGTCTAATTTGTGTTATCTCTTGACTGTGCTCGCATATCTCTCAGCATATGAATTGCTGGCCATAATTGACAAGCCCCATTCACGGTGAGATCTGTGCAAGCCAATTATATATACATATATATGTACTTGTATCTGAAATGCAGAGCTATTTTGTTTAATTATGGCTGCCAGAGACACACAGGTTGACTGACTGACTGACTGATTGACTGACCGCTGTTAGGCTAGTTGAGCCTGGCAAGTTCAATGGACAAGCAATCGCGCATAATTGAATAAACTCAATGCATTCACAATTAACAATTAACCACTGTGAATTGGCAAGTGCACTGCAACGGCAGCTTAATTAGCAACATGCTGAGCTGTCAGCTCGCATCGACTAGAACCAATTCCAGTTGACATGAGCAGCAATCAAGCCAGCCTGATGCAATCTGGCTTATGCAATGCTATGCTAACGATCAGTTGGCCAAAAGTTGCCGTTGCTCGCAATTGGCCACAAATCAGAACTGGGCCAGCAACTGAGCGTTCAGCTCTGCATTTGACCAGCAGCTAGCTGCATTTTTTATTATAGCGAAACCACAAGACGGAAGGAAGTCTTGGTTGAAGCAGTTACATATGCCAAAGCAAAGCGCATCTGAATTCGTATTCCACAAACCTTTCCATTTACCAACATATTATTAAGCAGCAGATATACATATGTATGTATATAAAGGTCAGAGATCTTAGAGAGCAAAATAAAAGTTACGAATTCTGAATCATTTCATATATATACTAGATTTGCCATTATTATACATGATACAATGTTACGAGTTCTGAATCATTTCATATATATACTTGATATACCATTATTATACATGATATTTAATATGATCCATTAAGAGAACATAATAACAAAGATATGTTATTAGAGAGCGGGTTTCCTTATTCAAGATTTTCAGCTTTCCATATACAAAAATCAATTTTTTATTCCAATGGGTTTGCTCTCCAGCGAATGGTTTCTCTGCCAGAGCCATGTTTACATATTATGTACTACTACATTATATTATATTATGATACTATATTATGCTACAATAATAAGTTGAAACTTTAAGTAAGCGATTTTTGATATAACAAAACGTTCCTCGAACTCGCAGTGGATCGAATATTTGTCCTAACGGAGGCATGCAGATCGTAAAGCTAACCAAATTGAAATTGATTTGATATACGAACTTCATTTACTTTTTTGACAAACATGAAACATTTGGAGCTCAATCGATAAATACCAAAGTTATGGAGATTCATTTCTAAGCTAAATATCGAATATTTCTAATTTCAAGATGTGATATGGCATAGAGAGATACCTAAAGACATGTACTGTATAAAATAAATGCATATAAATATATATAAATGTATGTTTTTATATACATATGTATGTATGCATGTGACAACAGGGCTTAAGGCTCGTCTTTGTTTTCATGCGGAAGAGATTTCTTCGTCTTGTTTGGCTATATTATTTTTGGCTGCATTACAAGTGGGCGGGCATGGAGGCGGGGTGAGTGGGGTGGGGCAGGAGACGTATGCACCATGAATGCGTGCATGTGTGTGCATATAATTGTTATTTAATTGCGTAACGGCAAACGTAGGCGGATGCGTGCTTAATGCCACTGTGCGGCCAGTTTCACGCACAGTGTGGCAAAAACAAATATGGCAACAGCCATTTCCGCATGTCAACGAAATCAAAGTCAAAAGCTGCGATGCGTTGCATTTGGGATTCAGTTAAACTGCAGCGCAAGAGGAGGAGGAGGAGGAAGAAAGTGCTGCAATGGTAGAGCTAGAGAGAGAGAGAGAGAGAGAGGGAGAGGGAGATGGGCAGAGTCAGCTGTAGCTGAAGATCTGTTTAGTTTAGGAGAGAGAGAGAGAGAGATAGGCAGATCTAGCTGTAGCTGAAGATCTGTTTAGTTTAGTAGAGAGAGAGAGAGAGAGATAGGCAGATCTAGCTGTATCTGAAGATCTGTTTAGTTTAGGATAGTTTAGGGCTTTTCTTGGTAGCCCTGGAGCGAAGGTTTCGAAAGGGCCACTATAACTTTTACTTTGAGCTGGATAAATGAGCTATGCAGCGGACAGCGTTTTTTGTGACGCGTGCAGTGAAATGCAAAGAAAGACGGACAGACAGAGAGAGCGAGAGAGAGAGAGAGAGAGTGTGCGAGAGAAAGAGAGGGAGCGCAGCACGTAGACAACATTTATTATTGCCAAATGCACGAAACATTTTGGGCTTTGGGGCTGGACACGCATCGCTAACTACGTGCGCAGACCAACTGTGGGCGCTGGCGTCCATATGTCGTCTATAGCAACAGACACACACACACACACACACTCGCATACACACACACACTTGCCTAGCCCCTATATGGTCTGTAACTTTTAGTTTTCAAGTGAAGACGTTTTGCTGTGCAGCACTACGACTTGGTTGAGTGAGGGGAGGGGAGGGGAAGGGAAGGCGCTGTAGTTGTAGGTGGCGGTCGGGAAGGTGTGGAGTGGGAGGCGAGTCAGCCATGTCTATGACCATGTCGACGAGGGAGCGTCGTAAATTGTAAAAAATTGGAAGAAAAACGCGCAATAATTAAGCGAATCAAAAGTGAAGCAAAAGCCAACAGCTGCATAAAACGGCGATAAAAACAGATTAGGATGATATATATAAAGATACATACATATATAGAGAATCGAGCCAGACTAGGCAATACTCTGTAACAATGCTATAAGATCTGGGAACATTCGGGAAGAGATTAGCAAGCATATCGATATTTATCGATTTATTATTTGCACTTGTTTATAAAGAAACTCAGGGATATATACTCTATACATATATATTAAATTAATGTGTTTATTGCTAACTCTTTGTTAGCCAATAAACATATTTACATACATATAGACAGATGTAGAAATAGTAGTATTGGAAATGGTAGTAATAGTAGTGGTAATAGTTGTGCTCCACTTTTTTTTTATATACTTATATATATTATATACATATGTATATACGTATATATCTTTTTTTTTTTTCTGTCTGCATCTGACAGCCTAACCCATTGGCCCATGCATACAGGGTATAAACATAAAATAGAAATTTAAAAGAAAAGAAAGAAAAAAAATATCGTCGTTTGTCTTAGATGTAACTTGATGCGTTTGCTGTTGTTGTTGTTGTTGTTGTTGTCGTCGTTGCACATAGCTCAACGTCTAATTAAAGTGAAAATGCGCCAACTATATACATACATACATACATACATTCAGATATCTATGCATATACATATACATATATACATAGATAAGTATCTGAAGATATATAGTGAAGTTGGCCAGTTACAACCGAAGCACCATCGCTTGGCTGCAGTTCGAGTTTATTTTTAGATATTATATATCTATGGGCTAAGATATCATGTCATATAATATGATATACATAGGTATGTATGTATGTATGTTATATGTGCTAGTCTTTTGCAAAATCCAGAGCAATGCACTGGACTGGAATGCAGCCAGAGCCAATATTAATCGAAGCAATTGAATAGATGAGGCAGGAAAAAGTTAGAATCAGGATATTCTATAATAAAGATAAAGATATATATCGTATATACATGCATAAGTATATCAATTGTCATTATAAATTGAAGCCAACTCCAATTGAATGCATAGAATCAGTCAATACTCTGACAGTTCCTTGACACGTAGAGTAAGCGCGAGCGAGACAGCACTTATTCTAATATACTCTTCTCTCTTCTTCACTTGCAGCAATGTCATAATGGAGCCAATGACCATGTTGGTATTGGCCTTCCAGCTGCTGGCGCTCTTCTCGATAGCCGGCGCGCTGTTGATCTATTTGATATGCAAGGTGCGCGAGGAGAGCCAGGTGGGGCACGGCGAGGTGCCCGCCAGCCGCGTGGTGCTGGTGACGAGCGCCGACACGGCGCTGGGCCTGCAGCTGTGCACGTATCTGGCGAACAAGGGCTGCCGCGTCTTTGCCGGCATGAAGGAGGCGCGCGATTCGCTGCCCGCCAAACTGCTCTGCGGCTGGATGAAGATACGGGAGTATAGCGAGGAGCCCATCAGTGGCACGATTATACCCATGCGGCTGGACGTCACCCGGGAGGATGTGCTGCGCGAGGCGACCATTGCGATGGGCGCCCACCTGAATGCGAACGAGCGCGGCATTGCGGCGGTCATCAACACCAGCGGCAGCGTGTACCGCGGACGCGTCGAGTCCCAGGATGGGCAGCAGTGGGAGCAGATGCTGAAGACGAACATTCTGGGCACGCTGCGCGTGGCCAAGGCCTTTGTGGGCCTGCTGCGGCCGACACGCGGCCGCCTCCTCTACCTGGGCGGCAGCAGTGCCGGGGGCAGCATGGGCGGCGATGGCCTCGTCGCATTCAATGCATCACGCGTCGCCGTCGAAAAGTGTGCCGAGGAGCTGCGCAAGGAGCTGCAGCCATATGGCGTCAGCATCGTTGCCCTGGACACCTGCGGCATGACCGCCGAGTCGCTCTACAAGGCGCCCGTGGCGCAGAGTAAGTAGAAGCCGCTGACCCAATCATGACTCGCATGACTCTGTTTTTCTTCTGTTTCATCTGCCAGCCATGTCGCAGTGCCCGGGCGCACCCACACAGTACACGGCCGATGTGCTCAGCTCCAGCGCCTTGCAGATGATCGAGCGAGCGCTCTGGGATTATGTGCCGCAGCAGCGTTACGCGCTGCTCTCCCATAACAAGTATCAATTCACGTTGCCATGCCGCTCCTCGCTGCGTCTACATCGAGCCAGCAGTGAGGCCGCCACGCAGTCCGTCTAGACAGATGAGGAGACAGAGTTAAAGAGAGAGCGAATAAAACAGAGAGAGAGAGAGAGGAGAGGGAGGACGATTTGATGGAGCTACAGATGTGTCAATTTGGGCATGGATCGCAGCTTATACATATACTTATGCAATACTTTTTCTGTACATACGTATAAAATACACACACACACAGCAGCTACACACACACACACCAATACACACTCACACAAACTTCGTTTAACATTGTATTCAATTATCTATAATCTATATACGCCCAACTGTTTTAACATTTTTTTAATGTTTATATATTTAATATTTTTTTGTGCCCTTTTTTATATAAAGATATATAAATATATATATACACATACATATATATACATATATATATATATTGATACATATAAATTGACGATTTGTTTACATTTTGTGAATCTATATAGTTTAATGATTTATATATAAATATATATCTATATATGTACTATATGCAAACATACATTTATATATACATATGTTTGTGCAAATATATATATATGTATATGTGTGTCTAAAATTTGTAAACATTTATTTGAGTTTTATTGTCTTTCAACGACTGCCGTCGACGGCTTCTATTCGTATCGGGAAATGAAATCGTAACGCAGCACGGAGGCACTGTAGATCTCTCCAGCATGCGCCTGCGGCTTCTCAGCTGTGCGTCCTGGGAGGTGAATAAGCACATCCGCACCAACAATGCTCTGCAATCGGCTACTGATCTGTAATAGTTTTCTCAATGAGTTTACATTTTTCGTTTCTCTTCGATAATATTTCGATTTTACCTGATCCCCATTGACGCTGGCATGGAGCTTGCCATTGATGCTGGTCACCGAGGCGCGCATATATTCAGGACGGCTATCCAAATCGATGGCATCATTGAGCAGCTGCAAAGGAATTAATGGACACTATATTAGACTGTTGTCAAGCCTTGGGCTTAAACATGATGCAGTTGCAGTTGGAATAACTGCAATTCATCAACAAAGGTCTCTAAGGCTAAGCTGATCAAATCCATTCAAGACATTGCATTAGAGTAGAATATAATATACATGTATTTAATAGCAGCTGATCAACATAAATCAGTTGGGGATGGTATAAAGATAAGCCAAATTACCAAGATAAATTATTTCGAGCATGATTTGCTAAGCGAGTTCAGTTTATGTCAACTTATCAGCAACATTTATCTATAATAACGTCATATCTAGGCGCACCTAATCTAAATTTTAGCTTAGTTTGCCACATAAGCGCGTATGTCTTTATGATTTTAACGCATTGACGCGATAACAAAACCAAACTAAAATAAAAGTTTAAATATTTAAAGTGCCTTTTGAAGTGTTTCTTATCACATTTTGGAAGAGGCTCTAAAGAGATTACGTTGCCGCGTCATTATATATATATACATATATATATATATATATATATATATACACATATATACATATATGAATTGATTGATCGATTCCTATCATCTGTCATAGTTGAAGGGCATTAGCTAATCTACTTAAAAAAATATATATATATACATATAAGAGCATAGTAAATAAGTTTCAGAATTGCACATGCTTCAGTAGCGGGTTTTACACTTACTGAGATATTGATTATGGGCAGGGGGCATTTGGCACGCTCCCAGCCATCAGCCCAGCGGATAGCGGGCAAGGCGAACAGATGGAATGTGACAAAGGCGGACACCGGATTCCCGGGCAGCCCGAAGAAGTATTTGTTTCCTCTGCTGGCAAAGGTCATCGGTTTGCTGCAGATGCAAGAATTCAGTTAGCTAATGAGATAAGTCAACATCGTGATTGCAATCGTGACCAACCCGGGCTTCATGTTGACGCGCCCGAAATGCAATTTGAAATTTAGCTCCTCCAGCACTGGCTTGATGTAGTCCTTGTCGCCCATAGATACGCCACCGGTGCAAATGACAAAGTCCACGGTATCAATCAGTGCGGACAGAGACATCTTGATGCCGGCCAAGCTGTAAGGTGATTTAATTAGTGTGTTGGTCTATATGATCCATATAGCTATGATCACCCACTCGTCGCCCAGCACCAACTTCTGCCTGCAATCAAAGCCAAAGTAAAGCAACAGCTCCTCCAGCATTGTCGTATTCGAATCATAAATTTTGCCAGCCACTGCCGGCTGGTGGGGTGCCAGCAGCTCGCTGCCGGTTGAGATGATGCCCACTTTGGGCTTGCGCTGCCGCTGCTTAATGCCAACGGAGGCCAGCAAAGATTTGTAGACAACGGGCGAATAGTCAGCAGCTGGAAACACTTTGTCGCCCTTACGCATGTCGTGGCCAATGGGACTACAAGAAATGGAATCGAATGAATATACCCAGACAAAATTGGATTAACTTGGCTCTTACCGTATGTCTAGACCGGCTTTTGGTTCGACCAGTATGTCAACAAGACTCTCTTCACCATATTTGTCGCGCTGCAACAGTCGAGTGTCCTCCACCTGGACAACGCAGTCCGCGTGCGTCGGCACCGGCGCTCCCGTATTGATCTTGAAGCATTCATCCTCCTGCAACGGATGCTCATTGACCTGCAGTTGAATTAAAGCAGTTAATAGGCAATCAGTGATGTATATAGATTGGCTTGACCTTATCACCGGCAGCAATGCAATCCACGACTCGCTTGGTACCCGAAAAGCCAGTTGATTTCATTGCATAGCCGTCTTTGATGGACGCCCGAAAAGGAGGTATATTGACTGGTGAGCGCAGCTGGTCCATCTCTTGATTGCTCTCGTTGTTGCGTTGTACCACGGTCAGTATTGTGTCCAGTGCCTGATGGACGGGCACCATGGGAAACGGCGAATTGCGATCGACGTCGTCGCCAGCGCCCGTCTTGTGCGGACAGACATGATCACGCTTTACAAGCGAAGGCACTGCAGCCTCACTTTGAGCTGTGCCCTGTACCTCGGCGTGCGTGCGCGCCACGAGCTCCACATTGTTGCCAATCAAATGGAGGGCGTGTGGCAGCAGTTCGCGTACCGCCTCGAAGCATTCAACCACGGCCTTCTCGCTGCCCGGAAAGTTCAGCACGAGCGTGTTGCCGGCTATTCCACAAACACCCCGTGATAAGGCAGCAAATTTTGTTTTTTTCAAAGAGGTCAAGGCGATAGCCAAGGTCAATTGATTGCAGTCCTTGTCGAGCAGTGGTTTAGTCGCCTCAGGTGTGACGTCACGCGGAGCAAAGCCCGTGCCTCCGGTGGTAATTATGACGCGCACATCATCCCGATCAATCCATTTGCGCAGTTCGCGCTGTATCAGATCACGCTCGTCGGGTAATACGGCAGCTATCACCTGTGAGTTGTCAAAGGATTCGCCAATTAGTGCCATCAAACGGCGACCACTACGATCCTTAGCCGGCTCATGGTAACAGGTGTCACTAACTGTAATCGCAATCGAATTGTGAATGCGGCCGACCGAATATTTGAATATGGCTTACTTGTTAGAACTCCGAAAGTAATAGACTCCATGGCTACATTTATATAATGTGAGTAAGCATGCAGCGCTTGTTGCTTTCAATTAAATTGTTTAATATAGCGTTTAGCACTCGCTCAAATAATTGTTCGATTGCTTTGACCGTTTTGAGTTTTTTACAAAACGAGTGTGCACACACTGACAGTTCGCCGTTTGAAATACATATCACATTTGATAGGCTAAATCTTTATTTCATTTATATATATGATTTAAAGGAGCTATCACTTGTAGCAGTGATCTTAGTTTCAATAAAAGCCTTTTAGTAAAGCTTTTTGAAGCTCCTCAAAAGAACTTTTAGATCGCTTTGGATTTCTTAACAGCAAGGCGTTTATGCATTTTTAGTACATTTTTTACACAGCAATGTGTGTAAACAGTGTTTGTCCGCCGTTGCAACTTAAAACCAAACATATTTATTATATGCAAGTATATACATATAAAGGTGTATATATAGTAACAGCCGGCATAATGCTAATGCTTACGTTTTATTTACACTATAATGTAACAATACAAAAAAAAAAAAAAAGGGATATTTAACGTAACAATAAAATGAATGTCACATTCCTTCACTGGCCGTTTTCATTTAGTCGGGATTTCCTTGGCGCGTTCCTCCACCAGTGGATCGTATCCGGATGCCATTTTCTCCTTGAACTGTTCATATGTGCGTTTACGGTCAAAGTGTTTCACCCATTGACCGGGACAGCCTTGCTCGAATGCTTTACGCATTTTCTGGCAGGCACTTGGCACCTTTTCACCGCTTGTTGAGCTGTGCTTGGGCGCATTCTCGTCCAGACACTTCCAGTATTCGTCACGCATGGCCCAGCACTTGGCGCGTTCCTCTTTGTTGGGGAAACTCATTTTTGGCAGTGATCAAAATATTAATGTAGTTGACTTTGATTCCTTTGCCGCTAGCCGGTATTGTCTTTTCAGATGTCAGATATGGGGGGCAATAAGCACTGTCTCTTCGCAGCCTATGTGGCTAGTCAATATCCCTATTTATCAGCAATTAAAATTGTGTTAAATGTTATTTATTGTTCAACAAATTCACAAAAACCAACCTCAAAATTACAAAACATACAATTATCAAAACAGTGTGGCCATATCTTAAGTAACCCACAACAGCTGATTAGAAAGGAAAAAAATCAATGCAGGGTTGCATTGAATATATTGGCGCTACAATTCAAATGATTGACCGTTAACAGTTGAGGCAATAATACAATGATTTTGCTTTTAGTACAATTTATTTGATTTAATTAATATCTCAATGACTTATATTTAACATTATTGGTATTAAATTTCAACTAATTTTTAAGGTGAACTATTTAAACAAATTGTATATATTTATACAAATTTTAATTTTTCTTAAAAAACCAAATTGTAAACTTAAAATAAAAATAAACAGAACAAAGCAAAACAATAACAATAATAATAATGATGAGTGGTGACTACTTAAATTCTAAATGGTGTGCATCGAAACCGTTATACATATACTATATGTAAATGTTGCTTAAATGTTATACAAATTACGTATAGAAAATGCTGTCCAAGTGCAAATGAGAGCGCAATAAATGCTCCGTTATTTGGACTCTAAAACACCTACGTCTAAATATATATTTATGTAAATTGTTTTTTCTTTTTTTTATTTGTGTACATGACACAATTCAAGTGAACCCTAGGAACACTGCAAATCTCAATGCGATGAAAGTGTTCGTGTTCTCTCTTTATGTTCCAGCAATACAAATATATATTATTAGTATAAATGTATGTAGATCGTATAACTAAGCTTGGGTATGTGTGTGTGTGTGTGATATTATATTTCAGCATTGATAACTTATCAATTTATTCATATTTCTAGTGTACATACATACAAACATATAAACAATTTATATCCACACTTAAGTATATATGTATAAATATGAATGTAATGCTTGTATATGTAGATGTATGTGTTTAGTATATGAATTCGTATTATTCAAATATTATACAATTCTTTCTAGCTTTTGATGTGATTCGTTAGACGCAAGGATATGATTCAAACTGAAATGAATAAAGTGCTCACATCTAAAAATGCGTTGCAGTCAATGCTCGTTTGGTTTTTATCCCTTCTTGTTTTTGTTTATTATTATTATTATTATTATTATATTGTGTTCTATTCCTGTAGTACCATGTCTAGCCATAGTAGCCCCTGCACTCCTATTAAGTTGGGGTCTAGTTTGGGTATCTTTGAAAGCGTTTCCAGGCACTTGTGGCTAACGAGCGCAAAGCTTAATTTGGCCAATTACAGTTACTGTTAACACAGTTAACAGTAACAGCTCTGCTTTGCTGTTAAGACTATGAACAAAACACGGCATTGTTCTCAATAGGCGACAGCAAATAGATTTACAATAGACTTTGTGTGTGGGAGTAAGTGTATATATGTGTGTGTGTAAAACATGTTTTAGCTACTATCAGTACCGTATTAAGCACAAACATAAATTACAATTCCGATTCTGAGTTTGCTATGCATGACATATAATTATTATTATTATAATTTTTGTATTTATATATATATATATACTCATATATATATATTTTATTTTTTTTTGCATTTCATTTGTGGCTAAAGCAATTTTGCTAGACATGCATAAAAAATAAAATACAAATTATAGTTATTGTTAGATTTATAATTAGATGTGTATGTGTTGTTGTTGCCGCTATTATTAATTTATTAATGCTAATTGTCTGCCTTGAAACTGGTTGAATAATGCCAAAATATATGCAAACCCGATATATAAAATACATACAGTTATATATGTATAAATTGCTTGCCTTGACTAGTTACAAATTCTCAGCATTTCATTTTCCTTGATCGCTCATAGATTATAGATTAAGATTAAGATACATAAATGCGAATATATATATATGCATGTATATATAAAGCAACTCTTATATATGCATATATGTATATAAAGACATTTATGTATAGATAAATCTATCTGCATATATGCATATCTGTTTAAACATTCTGTATTGCACAATGTGACATGCAGCTTAATATTGAACCAAAATTTTAAAATAAACATAAAATGTAAATACATAATTATCTCATAAAAACAAATGCACAATAAAAACAAACTAAATAATAGATATATAGATATATACATATATATCCGTATATCTGTGTATATCTAGAGCTATATGCATATATAAATGTTAACTAAATAAAAAATCTTGAAACATTTGGCAGTCGAGGACCAACAGCAACAAAAATCGAAAAAGAAATTAAGAATGAAACAGAAACTTCTAAAGTTATTGCCATACTTTCTTGAATCTTTTTGTTGTTGTTGCTATTGGAACTGATTTTGATTTTCTAGATATATGTATATATAAATATTTACTTATATATATGTATATATCGTATGTGTATGGCGCTCTTTTGTGTGTGATGCTTGGCAACTTGGCTTGGCCAAGAGAGTCACTGCCTCCTTTTCAATTACTATCTCTATATCTATTTCCCTCCCTGTCCTTGTCTGTATCTATATCCATCTCTATCCATGTTGTGTGTTTGTGTGAGTGTATGTGATTGTGCTCGAGTGGATTTGGTATTGGTATCGTTTAGTTACTGCTTCTCTACTATATCTGTCACAAACTACAGCACTGGCTCCTTGGCCTGCTGCTGCTGCTGCTGCTGCTGCTCGTGACATTCTTCTGTTGCTTCCTCGCCAGCTGCTGGCGATCCATTCGAACTGGAGGGTGTCTGTTGTGCATATTTGCAGGAGGCTGTAAGACACTTACAGCCGGCGCCGCCACGCTGACTGCTGCGCTGTTCGGCGCGCCAGAACTTCTCGCCATAATCGTAGCTAATCAAATGGAACGAAAATGTCAAATAACGAGTGAAAAATGGATGTGTTATGGATACCAACCAGATCTCCTCGCCGGATTCGATATCGCGACAGGCGAAGAACGCAATCTTTGGAAAGCGATAGTCCTGATGCTCATAGAAAACGCGCACGGGCAATATATTTGGCTCGCACGAATGATTGAAGAAACGACTTATATTGCCGTAGTAGTTGGCATCGATGCAATGCCCGTTATCCAGATCAAAGTAGTAGCTGTCATCGGTCCGCCGATCTGCCTCATGGGCCGTCAGTATTTCGCCAGTGTAGCTGGCCACAAAAGTGCCCTTGGGCACATTGACCAAGGCACGAACGCCCCAACCCTTTGTCGGCTCCTCGCACTCGACAATCTGCAACGGAATCCGAGTGCCATTCTGCACGACGCGATTCTTGCAGGACAGCTGCAAAAGGAGAGATCGAGAGGCAGAGAGACAACAGAATGAGAGTTTTGCATTTAGGTTGCTTTGACATTCACTCTACCTGATTGCAGCCGCAGACATCGTTACATTCAAATATCACCGCCGGATCCTCATAGTTAAAGTCACAATTCAAGCGACCCTCCGCCGTATACCAGTTCTGTGAGGACGCCCCATTGCATTGGCACTGATCGGTGCTGCAGCTGTCCAGGCACGAGCAGATGCGCATCTGGGAGACGCGCCTATCGATTTGCACCGAGTTCTGCAGTATGATGCAATTGACAATGTACTTAAAGTCGGGCCACATTAGAGCATCGGCCTCGTCCTCATTCTCCGACATGGTCAGCTCGTTGCGCACCGCCTGTATGGGGCGCAGTTCGCGTCCATTCGAGGCATCCGCACAGACGACCCGAGTACGCAGTCCCAGCGGGCGAAAGCTGCGCATCTGCATATTGAAGCCAACGGTGCGACCGCATTCGGAGTCCTCGTTCGGTATGCAGTCATAGGGCAGCTGCTCCGCCTTATTCTTAATCATCAGATCGGCTCCGTTCGCTATCAAAGCGATGCACATCCGAGTCACCGAATGACGACACGCAATGTGACTGCAAGAGAGATACGCAATGAATTAGATATTGAGATGACAGTGCCGGTTTCTTTCCACTCACAGCGGCGTATCGCCTTCTACATTTTGTACATTGCAATCGGCACC